TTAGTACCTTTCGAGTTGATCGTTTTTTGGCAAATATAGATGTTGGCTTTGGCAAAGCTGACAAGTAAGTTCTATGTAAATACACTGGAGGGGGCATTCATAAATAATACTACGTAAAATAGAATTCAAAGTCGGCTGTAATGCGTGTCCCAGGTTTGTGTCTACGCTTACGGTACGGCCACATAATAAGAGATAGCACTGATAGCAATGAAGTATTTTTTTTCCAAAAATTGCTTGGCGACAACTTCCACAGCCATTTTAAGAAAAAAAAAAACGAATATCATTTATGACTAGTATAAAAGTGTCATTTGTGTGATTATACGTGATAACAAAGAGTGTGCAGTGTTTTGAAATGTCTAAACACTAAAATTATTAAACGCCATCGTTTTCCCAACCCCTTCAAATACAACGAGCGTTTTAAAATCTGGTTGGAACGGACAGGGAATCCAAATTTAGGCAAATTATTATAGATCCCATGAAAATATATATATATAAAAAAGGATATTTTCTTTGCGATGTACATTTTAAAGAAACAGATTTTGGCCCCAATCAAAAACTTAAAAATACTGCTATTCCTACAATTCAAATTATGATGGTAAATATTTGTGTGCAAGTGAATGCCATAGATAATTTTTACAATAATTTCAGATAATATGAACGACTCCGAAAGACACACCCATTCCGTAAACCCTATTTCTATATTGGATTCTCAAAAATTTTGTACTGAAGTAAATATCTCAAAATTCCAGAAAAACCCTAAACGAAACTTTAAATCAAGAATCTTCTCGAATACTAAATTTACATTCAAATTCTAGGATTATTTCGCGTACAGCCCGTAGAAACAAAATCAAGGTAGCTTCGTATCGCCAGCGATTGAAATTATACTCCACGTTTGAAGTAAAATTAGAAAGCAAAATTTTAAGTCAGGATGCGATAAATTTTTGGTTATCACAATTAAAAAGACGAAATGTCAGACCAAAGGGTCACAGGTTTACCACTGAAGATAAATTATTTGCATTAACGTTTTATAAACAGTCTGGGAGATGCTATATAAAAATGAGACAGATTTTTGCACTGCCTTCACGTCAAACAATTATGTCTATGTTGAACAAAATTCCAGTAGACGTTGGTATAAACAAAATAATTTTCGACAATCTTGAAGAATGTGCTTCGAAATTAAATAACCAAGATAGAATATGTGCACTAATTTTTGATGAAATGTCCATAATGCCCCACATAGACTATGACAAATATACGGATACATTTTTCGGATTTCAAAATTTTGGATTTGAATAAAATTTACAGTTAGCAGATCATGTTCTTGTTTTTTTCATTCGCGGATTGTTTAAAAAATGGCAACAGCCAATATACTTTGCGTTTTCTTATTCGTCTACAAAATCTTACATATTGGCAACTATAATTAAACTCTGGATGAAAAAATACAAAATTGTGAATTCAAAATTCTGGTTACAATTTGTGATCAAGGCCAACCAAATCAAGCAGCTATAAATTCTCTGCTAAAGGAGTCGAAACAACGTTATGTACATAAACCGATGGAACCTAAAAGAAGAATTTTATTACGGAATCACGAAATTATTCCATTATATGACACGCCTCATTTAATTAAATGTATTAGGAACAATCTGCTTACTAAAAATTTAGAGTGAAAAACAAGCGAGGAAATTTTGGTTGTAAATTGGAAACATATATTCGATGCGTAGCTACTATGTACAATGATCAAGCATGTGGAGAATTACGGGCTCTACTCAAAATTACGGATCTCCACGTAATTCCGGAAACAATCCAAAAGATGAAGGTGTGCTACGCGACACAAGTTGTGAGTCACTCAATGGCATCGACTATTACGCTATTGGTTAAATCTAGAAAATACAACTTTAAAAATAATTAACAGATTCATTTACAATTTAATTTTACAGCCGAATGCAGTTTAACACACAAGGCAAAGGGAACAGCACGAATTATAAAATTTTTTGACAAACTCTTCGACAGTGTAAATGGCAGTACTTTTCAACCACAGTGCGGAAAACCATTTTCTGGGGGCGTATCTTCTGATCATAAACATTTTTTGAAGGAAGCTATCAAAATTTTGGGTGATATGTATTTCGTCGATGAGGCCGGAAAAATGGTAGTACCTCCGTGTATAAAAAACTGGATTGCAACGTTAGAAGGTTTTGTGGGTTTACATACAATTTTAATAGAACGGGGCAGGTGCAAATATTTTTTACCTAGATGTTTAAATCAAGATGTTATTGAAAACTATTTTGGCAAAATCAGAAGTCAAAGAAATCGAGCAACTAATCTAACGGCAGCCCAATTTAAGGAAAGTTTCAAATCTCTATTATTACACAATCTTTATAGTTCAAATACTATATTGCTAACTGGCCTCAAAAGGGTCCAAAAACATAACGGCAGAGCAATATATCGGACCTCTCTGTTTTTCTGTGGTACTAAACAGTACTGTACATACACTCCTACTTGCTTGATTTGTAGTCGATAGCGTGATGCGTTTTGACATTCCGTACTTTCGCTTCTATTTTGTGTACATGCGCACAGACCCACGGTACTCTTATAGAGAGAAAACAACATATTCTCTCTCTCTCTCTCTCTGTTCGTGAACACCGTTTATATGTTACTTCTGAAGAGTTAGCAATATAGTAGTATTAGATATATGGATAGCCGCTAGTTTTGAATCACAAGAAGTGTACCATGAACTGAAAACCTTCTTTGACCTAGATTCTTTACATTCAAAGCTAAGGAATATCAAAATTGGGAAGTAATCAAAAGAGACAAACAATTATCTATACTTGGTGTACTTTGAAGAAAATCCAATCCCTACTGTCACATCCTTCCTTCAATTTGATATAAACCTTTCTGTAAGACTTTTCTATAGAGATACAGAAATTTCTTCACTACCAAGTACAAAAATTGAGTTTCCCCAAATTGTGAATAACATCAATGATGTACAGGATTATTTAAAACATATTTTGAGTCCTACATCAAGGATAAAAATGAAGACAACATCGTTAAAAGAAAAATGAAGCTTATCATTATTATATTGTGTGTAGCACGGTGAAGGTTGCGCTCCGGCATTATTTCGTCTTTTCTACGGAATTACTAATCCATAATTTTTCCTTTTTTCACAAAAGTGAGGGTGATTAGTGATCATTGTTGTGTTCCATTGGGGAAGTGCTCGTTGTTAGATAAGTACCCACTAATTTTTTACACTTACATTTAGTTGTAGTGTCTTAAAAACAAAAATCGACCAGTATTACCAATCTTTCAAAGAATGTCGGGCCAAATTCATAGTAGCGACCGAAGTAGCATTTAAAGACTACATGAATAATATGCAGTTGACATTAAATGCTGATCCCAAGAAATTTTGGAGTTACATACAACAGAAAAAAAGAGTAAGTCGAATTCCTGGAATTATGCAATATAATAATATAAATCCAAGTACTCCAGAAGATATTGTAAATGGCTTTGCTGAATATTTTAAGTCGGTGTACACATTACCTAGTAATACTCCTCCCGATGAAATTTCCATAGGTGTTAACACTAACACAATTATTGATGTTAAAGAAATCACCGAAAGAGAAGTGTTTGAAGTATTAAAGAAATCTAAAGATAAACTTGCATCTGGAATTGACGGTATACCTAACTTTTTATTAAAAGATTGTGCTAATGTTCTATCAACTAAGGCTAACATTTATTCAATTTAATTTCAAAGAAAACACATCTACCATTAATTTGGACGAAATCAGTGGTATGTCCAGTATTAAAAAAAGGAGATAATTCGCCCCCACCTAGAACAAAATGATACAGAATTTTTGAAGTATATTGCTTTTAAATATAAATATTTAGAATTAAATGATAAGCTTATCATCCTAATGATTGATGAGATTGACTATAAAGGAGGTAACATTGTGGGAAATGCCTATGATAGTCCTGAAAATGCGAGCAGTGCCTATGTGTTTAGGATAAACAGTTTGCTTTCTAATTAAGTATAAGGATGTTGCTCACATTTTGCCTGTAAAGACTATCAAAGCCTCCAATCTTCATGGTTATATAAGAAAAATTGTTATGCAATTGGACAAAATACGTTTTCAAGTAATAAAAGTAGTTTCTGATAATCATAGTGTCAATAAGAAAGCAATGAGTTTTTTTTGTGACCCACCAGACTTAAAAAATGTCTATGAGCATCCAAGTGACAACTCCAAACCTCTGTTTTTTTTTATTATTGCCTAAGTACACTTATTGAAAAATATTCGGAACAACTGGATAAATCAAAACCCACAAAATTTCAATTTTCCTGATTTTAAAGATGATTTACCTCGAACAGCTTCCTTTGAATATTTAAACCAAATGCATGCAGTAGAAGATCAAGAACTCTTAAAATATGGACACACTTTAACTTTAAAAGCATTGTACCCGTCATCACTGGAAAGGCAAAATGTTAAATTAGCCTTGCAAGTAGTAATACATTTACTTGTGTAGTATCAATATTACATATTATAACTTCATAGGTATTTAATCAAAATATTGTTACCGCATTAAAAGAATTAGGACCTTTGAAAATTATGAAGACACGGCTGAATTTATTAATATTATTTGTAAGTGTTGTAAATGTCAAAACCCAATGGAAAGAAAAGAGACTACGAAATGAATTTGCTGAACCAGTTCATACAGATTCACCATGGATGGTCTCATCAAAATGGAAAACTACTGCCTAAACACCAAAAATTTTTCGTTCTTTCTCTGCGGTAAAATTCAAACCGATAAACTAGAGATACGATTTGGGAAATATCGCCAGCTTGCCGGATCCCAATACCACATTTCAGGTCGACAGGTTTTTGAATCTGAAAACAAATTGAGACAACAAAGCATAGTACCTGTAGTTTTAAAATCATATACTTATGGAGACTTTTCCATTTCTCCAGAAGAAATGTCTTGTAAATCTACAGAATGTGACGTGAAAGATTTTCGCCACCACGAAGTTTCACCCATTTTAAAAGAACACTGTGCATGTATTGAAGAAGACTTAGATGATATAGAGAACAATATTTGGCCTATACTGACCTATATTGCTGGCTATGCTGCCTATGCTACCAACAAACGCATAAAATATAATTACTGGCGTGTTTTTTGACTGAAGAAGATGTCCATACTTTTTCCAACGTAATAACTGCAAACGACAGGGGAGGCCTATGTTATCCAAGTCAAGACATTGTCCAAATCAGTGCTTGGAAAAAGAATAAACATTTCGTTCCCAACCAAACCAGAAGCACGCTGTGACGATGCTAAGTGCTTCATCTCTAGAACACTTCAGTGTCTTTTCTGGACTTTCGTGTGAAGTGCATGGTAAGGATTTGTTAGTGAAAAGTGTGGTTTCATGCATTACAAACATATTGTTGAAAAACTACGCAAAGCGTCAAAACGACAACACACCAAAAAAAAAAAACCAGTAACACAATGTAAAAGACAGAAGTTTTAGGTTAAGTTCGGTTAATTTAATAATATACATACTTACTTGTTGTAATTCATGTTGGAAACTCAGTAACCAATTTTAGTTAGTGTAAATATGATTGGAAATTCCAATTTCTACGATACATTTTAATTTCAATTTAAAAATCTTGCCAATGTCATTCATATCATCGGTCCACTATCGATGACGTCACAAATGTAGTTGCCTGGCTTTCTGTTTAGAGGGTGTTGAGTGATGATAGTATCCACAGATAAATAGTTAGTATTTCAATACCGGGAACTCCTCCGGAACTAAAAAATGTTGTCAATTCAGCAGTCTACCAATTGGTACCAGAAAAATCGAAGAGGCAAAGTTCAAGCTTATGGAGTACATATTCGGTGGTCAAATGCAGCTCAACATAAAAGAAGGCATTGACGTAAGGAACCAAGCATTTAAAATTGGTCCCGTTTTTGAAGAAAAAGGCAGTGGGTTATACAGTCAAAGGTGTTGACACAGGCCCAAATAAAGTTATTTTTGGAAGAAGCTAACGACAAAAATTATTTTGCTTTGGAAGGTAAACATAAACAAAGTTGCTATAAAGTGTGCCATTTATTGTTGTTTATTTAGGTTGTTTTGATTATGGGAGTATCAGGAGCCATGAGACGTGATGAGTTAACAAAAATCACCATTGATGACATCCAAGATGGCAACAGTGTTCTGATCGTTACTGTTACTGTTCCTGATACATAATAGAGACATAAATCGCACTTTTACCGTTACGAATCCAGATTATTAACATTAACATGTATCGTAAAGATTTGTAAAACTTTATTGTTTATTCGACAATAAATAAATTTTCTAGAAACTGTCTACTTTCATTCAAGGGTCGAAATTTGTAAAAGTGACATTTAGTTTAACGGCCGTTGCTGTAGTAGCGGCCGCGAAACTTGATTTCGCGGACTGCGTGGCGTACGCGAAATGGTCAATTCGCGGACGGTTACCCAAAAAATCTTTTATCCTCAACCACCACATCGTTAACACATCTTAGCTTTTAGTAACATATTTGAAACTCTTAACTCCAATTGGCTTTTGGAAATTCCTTATATCAATTTAACTAGTAACAGGGAACATATTAAATCAATTATTAACAAGTATATCATCAACATTTTCGTTTACATACAGCGGCACTTACGGTTTTCACAGCGATCCGCTTTTCCTTTATATGGAATGTACTTTTATCAGGCGCAATTATTTATATTTTATTTTGACGAAACCGCAACCCTATAGCTTTGGTTGCTCCAGCAGTTCAACCCATTCGCGCCTCAGATTCTCACCTTCATTATGATATTTTAATCAGTTGAATTGCTTTTGCGTTAGGAGTTTTTCTTTATCACACTTAATTTGGAAATTTTATTCAACTTTTTGTTTACGCTCAACAATAAAGTTTACCTCCAATGAGAGTGTTGCTCCTGCCAGTGAGCTTGAATCCCATTCGAGTTCGAAACACTATGTCTTAAAATTCGATAACCAAGATTCCTTAAAGAAATTTGAAAGCGGTGCTGCCGCACCGCCATGGAATTACTCTGCAAACAATTTAAAGTTGTCGAGAAATTTACGTCCAATGTATCGTAACTAGGGAAGTACCGACTAGTGGCCGACCGGTCGGATAAGCCGACTATTCGGCCGTTTTTCATCGTCGGCTGCAGTCGGCGACTGGTCGGCTAAACAGCCTATCGGTCGGCTTTTTTTATTAAAATTAAAATAGTATATAAAACAATTAAACCCGGTTCACAGAACCTCAATTAAATATTTAATTGCGATGTAATTTTTAACCCCGCATTAAAGTACCATGTGACCGACTCGACGCCAATCAGACGTCGCTAATGGCCTTGTTAAATGCGCGATCAACTTAATCTTAGTTGAAATATTGTATAAACTGGCCCTAAATTGTTTTATTCTTTATTTTTGTACTGAGTTACTAAAAAAAATTAAATGTTAAAATTATCCAAACAAATTTAACACATTTTTTGAAAAACAAAGGAACTTTAGTTATTTAAAATAAAACAAATTTTTAAGGTAGTCAGAGAAATAGAAAAAAAAAACACACTGTCTGTCGCATTTATAAACCGGTTTTAGCAAAGCCGAACAGTCGGCCGACTAGTCGGTTTTTACTGGCCGAACAATCGGCTAGTCGGTTAGTCGGTTAGTCGGCCAGACCTACAGTCGGTACATCTCTAATCGTAACACATTGGAATAAATGTTTTCCAAGCTTAAGTTTTTAAGCAAAACATTTTTTTGTCCAGCATTGAGAATTCACGTATTTTCTGTTTATTTTTTTTTAACAAGTTCTTATCCAAAAATGTTTAACCGTTTATTGCGAGTATTTAAGTAGGTATGCTATCCTAAGTTCAGTTAAAATGTTTTGTTTAGTTACCTTATTTTCCTCTTACTTAGTGGTTTTGTTTTTTATGTTCAACTGTGACGGAGAGAGCCTGCAATTCCATGGCGTTGCATAGTACGCGGACTCGCCGATTCACTCCACTCGACCGTATGCAAATGGGGCTACATCGGACGTGCAACGTCAAAGCCACCCCGATCGCACTGTGCACCATTATATTACATACAATTAAATAATAATGCATTGCAATGTATAATAGGAAGATACAGCAGAAGGCGGAAACCACGATGACGACGGCAACGACGCAAGTATTTCATTCACCGAAGACGGAAAGGAAGACGAAACACAACATGAAAGTGATGATTTCATAGCAAATAACTCATCGATATCTGAGCCTATGACTCCAACGTCCCATAAAAATCGAAAAAGGAAAAGAAATAATGATGCTAGGGTAGATGAAGCATACAAATTTATGCGAAGTATTCAAGAGGATGTGATAACAAAAGATGACTTTACAGTTTATGGTGAAAACGTAGCCAGCAGAATGCGAAGCTCAAATCAAAACAATCGAGCTATATCTATAGCAAAGCATCAAATTGATAATATACTCTTCCAGCTGGAAATGGGTGCATTTGCCGCGCGTGAAGTGGTAATGCCTGATCCAAGATCGCATCATCCAGCGGTTTTCTATCCTCCGCAAGCATCACCTACATCGTCTTCTGCTTCAATGATATTTGATTTAACAAGTTCATCACCCTCCCCGTCACCGTCAGTAGCGTCAAGTCAGTCACTGCGGTCTTATCATATATCGCAACCGCAATATCCAGCAAGACCACAATCTTCTAATCAGAATTCAGAAGGGCCGGTAGCACAACATGTTGATATCCGAGAATCTAACTTCGTTTTGTAATATTTAGTTCTATTAACAATAAATTAACTAATAATAAACAATTGATGTGTTTTTTATCTACTTACTTGACAGTATCCTTTAACCCTTCCGTGGCCGTGCGGCGGGGTAACTCAGTTACCTCAAGTGTGAAAAATACGCAGTAATTTTTTGACTATTGTAATTACCGCTTTGCTGAATTTTCTATGCGAAGAAGAAATTCATATTTCTGACAAAGTAAAAGCTGAAGACGATGATATACATTTTCCTGGTGCTTCCGTAGAAGGAATTTATACATCGAAATCTGGGTTTGAGTGGTCTTCTAAACTTCGTCAACACACAAGACGTTTAACTCATATTGTCAATGCTAAACCTGGTTTGCAAAATCATAGGTAAGGTTTATTCGTAAAATGTCTTTCATTTATTTTCGTAGAAAACAACACTTTTCTAGCTGCAATATTTAGTTTACAGATAACATCAATTTATAGAATCTTTCAAGCTATTTGTAACAGATGAGATGCTAATACAAACCCGTGTGCACACAAACAGACAAGGACCAAAATATATCTCACAGTGGAATGAAGAACACCCGGAAAATCAGAAAGAATGAAAAGATATCACAATGGAAGAGCTGCAAGCGTTTATTGGTGTACTAATTGTAGGTGGAAGAAATGGTGGAAGGAAACTTCGTTTTGACGAAGTGTGGAATGAAAATGACTTATTCAAGCGATAAAATGACAGTAAAATAGTGCTTATTTTACTGCCGTTTTATCGCGAAACAGATTCAAGGACATCTACAAGTTCATCCGATTTGACAATCCAGCAACTAGAAAAGACAGAATGCAAGCAAGTGGAGACAAATTGGAAGCAATACGGGAAATATCTGATAGTTTTGTGAAAAACTGCCTTGACAATTATTCGCCAAATACAACTGTTACAGTCGATGAACGTTTGGCAACATTTCGTGGAAAATGCCCTTTCAGAATGTATATAAAGAGCAAACCTGGACGATATGGCATAAAAATTTGGGTTTGCTCCGATTTCGAGACAGCATATGTACTAAACAGTCAAGTATACACCGGAATGACAAATAATCAAACACAGACAAACCAAGGGCAAAGAGTTGTGTCTTAGATATGTTACGACCGCATTTTGGTTCATGGAGGGGTGTTACTACCGATAATTTTTTCACATCTATTCCTTTGGCTCAAGAGCTTTTTGATCATCAGTTGACAGGAACACTACGACCAAACAAACGTGAAGTCCTCAATGAGTTTTTACCTCACGTATCTTGCCCACAAAAGTCGTATTTGTTTGGTTTTTGTGACCATTTGACGCTTGTATCCTACGTTCCAAAAAAATAGAAGGGCTGTACTTTTGCTTTCTACACAGCTTCATGATGAACAGACTGCTGCTGACCACCAAAACCAACCTGAAATAAACATGCACTACAACAAGACAAAAGGTGCCGTAGATACCGGAGACCATATGACCAGAGAATATTCTTGTGTTCGAGCGAGAATAAGATGGCCATTGCGAATCTTCATGGAGATAATTGATATGGCCGCATTAAACGCATATATAATTTTTCGAACAAGGTATCCGGATGTATCCAGAAAAAGAAGTTACCGTAGAGTGTTTCTACAAACTCTAGCTCAAGAGATTGCACTGCCTAATGTACAAATGAGGAACATAAATCCACTGAGGACATAACATTTCCTGATAGTGATGAAGAACTACGATCAGGTCAACTTAACTTTTTTATGATAGCTGGGTTCCCAAAAGTAGTAGGTGATATAGACGGCACGCATGTGAGAATTATATCACTCGGTAAATTTCAGTAGAGTATAGTTATTCATTTATATATAAGTCAATAACTTCCTCCTGTGCAATGTATGCCGATGATATCAAAGTGTACAATCATATTTCTAATGCATCTGTTTTACAAAATGATATTAACGTTATCTTTGACTGGGGACAACAATGGGGTATTCCACTCAGTAAATCTAAATGTAAAGTCCTTCGCATTGGTAAGGATAAATCGAACATAAATTATCAAATACAAGGTGAATGTCTATCGAGAGTCACAGAACATAATGATTTAGGAGTTCAAATTCACAGAAATCTAACATGGACAAATCACATAATAAAACAAGTAAAAAAAGCTAATTTAAGAATGTACACTTTATATAAAACGTTTTTAAAAAAGAATATTTCTTTAATGGCAAAGATTTTTAAAACATATGTTCGCCCAATTTTAGAATTTGCGAATGTTGTTTGGTACCCAAATAGAATTCAGGATCTTGAAACTTATGAAAAAGTGCAACGTAAGTTTACTAGATGGTGCTTTGGCGCTAGAAGACCCAGTTATAACACACGTCTAAAACATATGAAATTGATAACACTTTCAGATCGTAGGCTAAGAGGGGACTTGATACATACATTTAAAATCTTGAAACTTGGAAAGGAAGGTCACCAAATTTTTCAGATTAGAGGAT